ACACACCGTCCATTCATCCTTGATGCACAATCAGTAATCGGCACCTAAAAAATTGACACCTATTGCAAGTCGGCTTATCTGAACTGCACATGCGTAGTTTGTACATGTTAAATTGTGCTGAATATTAATGAGGCGATGTACTAAATTGCTGATACAGTATGCACTTTAGTCGCCAAAATTTTTTATTTATTGTTAAAATAGGCTAGCTAAAGGCCTTAAAACAATTGTATTACGAGATTCAAGCATATTCAAAAACACGTTAAACATACAGTCTAAGCCTCAATTTACCACAAGTACGACAAGGCGAAACAAAAGCATGTGAAAATTCATACCAAAACCCATGAATGCTCAACGATAGCCGATACGCATGGCCATTTTTCTGCGTGATTTCAGGTCCTGCGGAGGAGGCTAGGTTTAAGGTTTATTAAGGTAAAACGCTTTCTGACAGGCTCAATAAGCTACAAAACTATAACCTTTAACGACGTAAGGTCATCTAGCTGATATTCTACCTGCCTTTGGTTTGTTCGGATAAGCAGCTTTCGACTATAGTGTTTATAAAGCTGTATAAATAACTCAGCCTGCCAATACAGTTTTTAAACCAACATCACAAGATCTCGAAATCATTAATAATTCATGAGCAAATTAGCGAATGAACTCACCCTAATTCGTCACATGATTGAGGTTGGATACCGCAAGGAAACACGCTAAAAATCATATACCATCACTGTTGTTAGATGAAAAACGGTTTTCTTCTAATAACTGAGATCCTAATTACAAATTCAAGTCAAAACACAACAATATACTATAATAATATATATAAGCCAATGAAATGTTTTCGTTTGAGATGTTATGTAAACAACTCGTTTCTCGTGTTTCATCAGGGGACCGTTTCTCGTGTTTGGATCCCCTGATGAAACACTCAAAGTCGTTGTTTACATATAACATCACACCCTGCAGGACAGCATTAGTATACATATATTAGATTTATAACCTTTTTATGTAATTGTATTGTCAAGCTCGAATGATTGATTGATATTCATTTTTTTCTAAGAATGTGTTGTATCTTATTACCAATATACAAGCCTTTATTGTTTGCTCAGACATGTCGCAATGGCGTGTGCATCTTCGACACAAAATGATAATACCGCATATCTTGACCACTTTACGTGCAATATATGTTTGGAAGTGCCACAAGAACCTGTTCAATGTGTGAAGAATGAACATTATTTTTGTATGAAGTGTATAACCATACATTTAACGCGATCACAAACGTGCCCTGTTTGTCAAGATGCACTTACTCCCGAAACACTTCGTCCTATCCCGAGAACTGTGGCGAATCTACTCGAGCAGTTTCAACCTCTGACATGTAAGTACGCCAGTCGTGGGTGTACGACCGCAATAAAACGTGAAGATTTGTTCTCGCATCAGGAAGAGTGCGGTTTTGCTCCTGTTCAATGTTCGCACGAAGGATGTGAAGCCACGGTAGACAGGCAAGATCTCGTCAGCCATCAACAAGCCTGTGAATTTCGATCGGTGACTTGCGAAGATTGTCAAGAAGCGATGAAGCAACGAGAGTATGGAAAACACGGATGTGTCTTTCGAAGGGAAATAGATGAAAATAGACGTGGTTTGGTTGAGATACAGAAGATTTTGCGAGAAATGCAGGACGAACAGGTGAGCACTTCTACGCCTTTTTAGGGTTGAGAAGGTCGAAACTGATGAGAGTTGAGAAGCGAGAGTTTGCATGAGAGTTTTCTCAAATCTCACACCCCGCGGTCAAACAATGTGCATGAGATTTGGCAGTCACGCGACATTGGTTAGCTGTTCTTAATACTTTCCCAACACTGCCATGTATTTGTATTTTATAGGTTAAAACGTTATTAAAACGCTTCTCAAAACTTTATTTTGTTAATCTGGAGCCGAAATGTAAACATCATCCACGTTTGTGCCTAGATGTTGAACATGCACTTGTATCATATGAGAACCTCTCAAGTTAATTGTGCACTCCATTTTTAATTTAAAAATAATTATGTTTATGTTTAACAGCTTCGACAAAGCGCAGAAATCCAACGGTTGGCAAGTAGAGAATCTGGTCAACCTCATGCAGCCCAAATACAAGACAGCGAAAACCTAAGACAGCCAACGAGCGAATTAAGGCAACCTAATCCGACGCAGGGACAAGGAAAAAGTGTTAGTGAAGCCCCAGCAAACTACCCAGATCTCTGTACAACAATCAGTTCAATATCATTAAGTCCAACTCGAAGCCAAACTACAGTCAACAAGCAGATTGTTGTAGCTGGAGGACGTAGCAAGTCATACGAAGTCTTTAACTGGGATACTCAGGAATGGTCTTTGCAACAGGACAGTTTGTTCTTTGAACATTACAAAGGATTTTCGTTCGTTTATGATAACAAGATGATGCTTTGTGGTGGAACAAGCACAATTAAAGTGGAATGTGTCGATATTGCCAATAAGTCTGTCAGCACCTTTCCTGCACTATTACCTGGCACAGATTGCGGTAAGGGGGTTCTTAGTGGTGGTGATAAAATGCTGACTTTTGGTCAGTCTGTATCAGCGACCAGCCTTAAACCTCCATTTAAAACCACAGTTGTTGCTTCTTATACCAAGTCCAAGGTCAAAAAATCATCCTGCTATGGTGTTGCCTGTGTCAACGAAAACGCTGTTGTTATTGTTGGTGGTTGCCGCACCAAAGGTGCAGAACAGTCGTGTGATAATGTCTCACTTTATAATCCAGCAACGAAATGTTTTGAAAGTCTATCACCCTTGCCCTATAGTGTTGCAGACATGGCCGTTGTCGTGTACAAAGATAACATCGTTATTTTGGGCGGAAGGAAAGCTTATTATCATAAGCCTTTGTTTGAGACTGTGTTAAGGACTGAATATCTAAATGATGCTCTTATGTATAACATCTCAAAGCAACAGTGTCGCAAGTTGCCAAGCATGTTAGAAAAGAGGTGAAGTATTATTATAATTTCTATTCAGTAGATGTGATATATATTTTTCTTGTAGTTATTAATCACCCAATATGACACATAACACACAAAAATTACAAAATACCGGTATTAAAAAGCTAAAAATTGAATAATAGACTTTTACTGTTCATTGCACTTCTGCCCCAATGGCCTCATCTCCATGTTTCCCTGTTTCAGCATGGTAGGCATGCGAAGGTATATCCCCACATTTCGTTTGCAAATATATTTCTCTTTGATCTTGAGCTCAATCACAAACCTATACTTAACCCTATTGTGTACGAAACATGAGGAAATAACCACATGGAAACGAGAAAAGTAGGGCAAAAATGGGGTAAACAGTGCAGTCTATTATTATAAGTAATAGCATTCAGGGCGATTAGCAATTAAATGTACCCGAAAGCCGATAGAGTGTGTCAATCTATAGTAGTAATTCACGCCTGGATCACTAGCATTGTTGGGTTAGAGTTTGGTTATAGATTCCTTACCCTAACTCATAAAAAGCGAAACATGAGTCTATATATATTCTAGAGTTTTATAAAAGTACTGTTATATATATTGTTGGATAAATACTTGTATTTAGTATGTAGCCTAAATGCTTACAATGGTGCATGTATAAAATAGGATGCACATTGCTTTTACGCGATATTTTCTTACTGATGTCTTATATTATACACACCAGTGAACACTAATATAAATATTTTCCTCTATAGCCTACGCGCACCAGGCGGTTGTAATTGTCGAGGGGATATTTTCAGGTTAGCAAAGATATAATTTCTTTTTGTAGGTCAGGATGTGCTGCAGTAATTATGGGAGATACTATCATTGCTATGGGAGGATGTAATCATTTGGACCTGAAGACAGCAGAATACCTGGTCCTGGGTGAAGACACGTGGAAGAAACTTCCGCCAATGCATTATGCAAGAGCTGGGGCAACTGCATGTCTCTTGCCATAAAAATCGTGTGTAGATCCATCTAAGATCCCCTCCCATTGACAAACAGAATCATACGGTGTTAAACATAGAGTGTCTGTTACAGTAAAAACCTTCGCAGTAAAACCATCGGATTGAGAACCATCTCCCTTAAGTTTATCAGACGAGTTCAATTCGGCCCCTAGCAGTGGCGTAGCAAACTCGATAATTGGGGGGGGGGGCACATATTCGTGTTCACTGACCTTAAAAACAATTGATTTCAAAAGAAATTAATAAGGCAGAACACGAATATATGAATATGTGCCCCCCCCCCAATTATCGAGTTTGCTACGCCACTGGCCCCTAGATTACAAGAATCGCTTCAGGCTGACAAATTTGATTTTTTTTAAAACATTAACTTTTATACTTTAGCAGTTTGGCCGAAGTGGGAAAGAAGTTCTAAGCCCAAGACAAGCTACTACAAATTATTATAATTAATATTAAAAAGATATTCTCTTGTTTAGTACTTGGCGAAGATACATAAGGGCATTGGATGTCGGATCTTATAAATAGATTTATAATAAAAAGACTGTTTGATGTGTATGAATAAACGTTTGTTTTCACTATGTAGAACTTAGTTGTGATAATCTCACTGTTTATTTACGCATATATATTATTAGTAAACCTTCTGTCAATTCGTGTGAATATTTTTGGGATTGTTTTACATGCTTCGTGCTTGTATGAAAAACTATCTTTCATTTAATCTCAAGTTTGCGTCAGTTGCACGTGTGAGGAATGTTCTTCCGGTTTG